CAGTTAAATACCTGGCTTGAGATAAAACTATATTAATAATAAAAAAATCAGATACGTAATAAAGAGAATAGTTACAAAAAGTAGAACAGCAGAGAATCATTTAGAGGCTCCTCATAGAAGGCAAATTTTCAGTCTACCTCTTGATGTGTTTACAATCAACATCAAGTTTCTTGTTGTCAAGTCAACAAGTTAATTGCTCGGGTCATGAGAATTGAGTACCACTGTGAATTGCCATGATATAGTTAACGTCAAAACAGTCCTTCTCAGTTAAACAATATGCTGAAATATATATTCTCAAGTTGGGGGAGTTTACCAGTTGGTCATTGGTTCAAGGGGTTAAATTTTGGCTCATTGGATTGTCATGAGAGTCAGTTTAATATGCGAAAGATGTCAAGTCAAGGAACTAGAAACTTAGTCGAGTTTCGAAATTGCAGCAACAACTGCATGTTAAATAACTTAATGATAGATAATCTGTCCTAAAATCATTTTATAACATAGTAAGTCATGAAAAGCTTCAAGGAAGACACATCTTAGTTCAGTTCTTGAGTTTAACACCTGCGGTCTGAACGGACTTAAACATACTGTGGATACTAGGTTGGGTTTTCACCTAAATTTTCCGCCTCCCCTCCCTTCCCCTCCCCACATTGACAATATTGTTGACAACGTTGAAACCGAATTCGCAAACATTTTCACCGCGAAAAGTAACCAGAATGCAGCAAGTAGACGTGTAATATCTTGATAAGCTAGAACATACTTTTTGCCAGCTTCCCAAACATCCGCAAGGGTATTGTGCTCTGCACTCTTGAAGTAATGCCTCATGTAAAGCTAAAAGTATTATGAACCAGTAATTTAGTTATACCAGTTTACTAGAAAAGCAAAGTTGCAGTTTGTGCACAACATTGTAAAATTGTAGTTCTATACACTTCAGTTGGAATTGCAACTTTGTTATTTATAAATGCGTTTTTGTACTTCTGTCATGTCTTATGACAAACTAAGACTTTTAATGTACAAAACATAATATCTAGATATTAATAACACGACTACATATAAACTAAACGATTTAAATAAATCCGACGAATGATCCAAAACATAAAGATACTTCAATGACAAGTGTTTTACCAGTATTAGTTGGTTTCAATGCATTGTTTAAAGTTCATATCAAATATTATGTACAATTTAATTTTCCGAATAAAATTGAATACGATTTCCGCAATCTATACTATTTACATGGCTTATTCAATGGAAAGGAGCAAGAATTTGAAATTGTACGTTAAGAAAATATATGTTTTGATATCATATCGTCTCTACAGAATTTACATGCACTCATTACCTCATTATTTTCTTTAGGGAGTATCATTTATTCGACTTTAGCAGATTATATACATCACGCTGTTTAAAATTAATCAAAATAGCCAGAAAGCTCTATTACACTCTGTGAAAAATGTAACAGTACGGCAATGAAGACCGAACATCGAGTTTCCCTCTTGACTTTGGTAAATGTTAGATGTATTGAGTTGAAACTCGGCTCTCCCTTTTGCAATTCTCTCAAAATATCCTAAGCGGTTGTGAGATAAATAAACGATTACATTTACACTAACCTGTATCCAAGGGCAAGGCTAAAATTAGTCAGACTGGCTGTCTGTAGTCTACAATCACATGTCAGATAATTCACAAAAAGTTCCTCGTTCCACAAAAGTACTTATATCTTAAAACAATTAAATCACTGTTTATGTCCCATAACAAAAGAAGGCTCATTCAATGTTGCATAAGCCTTGTGTAGTCGGTCAAATCTCTTTTTATAGGAGTCCCTATCTTTCACTGCGCTGCAAAGACGTTCTTTCGCTTGTCGTAGCTGCTCTTTTAGCCGCTGGTTCTCTGTTTCCAGTCGTTCTTTGAACGCTGTACGCCGTTGTCGACAGCTTGTAGCGTACGCACGGTTTTTTAAGCATCTTCTTCGTCTTCTATGCACCTTCGCTTCTGCTTTCGGTAAACATTTTAACCTTTGGTTCAGGTCCCGCACTGACAACTTCGTTAACTCGTCGTCTGATATATGTTGGTTGAATTCTTGCAAACTTTGCAGGCTTTGAGGCGTGCTGTCCATGGCTGACTCCGCATTGCAGCTAAAACTTACTTGCGACTGCAACAGCGTGTTTTCCCCATCGTCTTTCTCGCTAGGGAGCTCTATCAAGCTCTGGTTTGGAATCCAGTTTGAAGGGGTGTCATTATCTGTGAAAAACTTTTCCAAAATATCTTCCAGAGGAGAAATATCCACGAAAAGCGCTTCATCGGACATGCTGAAGGCGAGGAAATGATCACATGTTCGTCCTAATTCTGCTGCAATGTGGGAGTGTACTAACTGTACTCCATTATCCAATCAGATGGCGCATTTTTGACAGATATGATGGCTGACTCCACCTACTAAGATTACGTAAGGGGAATCCCCTAGTCTATAGATGGCAGTAACAAAACGTCGCCTGACCTCGTATGTAGTGCATGCAACCAGAGAGAATCAATAAAGTTTGTATTGCATTGTAACCAGGGTTATGAAACTTGCAAAACCGGTTATTCAGCGTGAAGGAACTGGCATTTCATCAATGTTACGCGTTGTTGAATGAGGTTCCACTCGAGTACTCATCGATATTAAATATCGGCTTTGTATCTAACGGGCAACATGTAAATTAGTCAAGCTGTTGGAGTTCACAATCTTACATTTTTCGTACCAAAGTCTAATTTCAAAGTTCAGACAAGACTTTCTGTTGTTCATTAAAACCCTTCAGCAACCTTTAATAATCCAAAACTTGTCCGTTCTTTTGTATGGCAGAAATAGAAGTTTTTAATTCTGAATATCGCTTGTGATATTCATCCCTCTCTTCGATGATCTTTCTTAATTCTTTCTTCGCTTGGAGTAATTCTAACTCAAGTGCCTTATTTTCGTCCGCGATTTTATGTTCCCTCTCCACGCCTTTCTTTCGACACTTCAGAGAATATTTACGATTCTTTAGGATTCGCCGTCTCTTTCGAAAGTTTTGCCTCAATTCTTTTGGAAGTCGGCGAAGCTTCTTGTTCAGGTCTCGAATGGTCGCCTTTTCAAGGTAGTCGTCGGTTAGCTTTCTCATCAGCTTCAATGAAACCGGGCGACTTTGAGACTGATTCGTAGACGTCAGTAAAAACCATCCTGTGGCCTCTTGGGGCTTCGCTGTGGCCATAGCTTCTGGAACTAACCCGAACTCTTCAATCGTGTAAATGCTATTTAAGAGGCATCCGTTGTCATTAATTCCTTGCACTTCATTCCAACCAAGACTCCCTTCATGAAATGAATCAATAGAAGGTACAACCATCTCCGAGAGAAATTCCTCCTCCCTTGCCTTCATGTCGGTAATAAAAGCCCGAAAGTAAGGTTAACCGTTGTTTTTAATTGGAATAAAGGGAAAACACCTTGTGCCTCAAATAACTAATAAGGGGAACCCCTCATTTTCACCTCCACAAAAACAAAGTCCTTATTATCTGGGCAAGCAAATAATTAGATTTCAGTTGGGTTTTTTTGAGTACCCTTTAACTTACTGAATGAAAGCTCCAAATCGAGGCAAAATCCCTCCAAAGCCATCCTTTTTATGCGTTACGTATTTAATACACAGAGTAATTAAGTCGCAAACAAATTTCGGGACATCGCGGAATCGAAACTAAGTCATGGGACACGCGTGATATCGATCCATGCGAAAACACAGAAAGGGTATTTCCCTTAAAAAAAAATATCTAAGGCAAATACATGTATTACAGAGCCTCGAGAGTTCACTTGCGTTCTTTTACATTGCAAATAAAACGACTTACACAACAAGGTTCTCTCTTTATATATGTGATCTAGAACCACATGGTTTAATTCTATTCAGTGCAATTTGTTTACAGGTTCCCAAGTACAGGATGTGACTCAATGTTCGAAAACTCATCGCCCCACCCTCCCCTCCCATAACGGAAGACATCTCAGACAGCAACCCCCCTTCTCCCCCTAACCTCAATCACTGGAAAAAAAAAATAGCGGCCCCAGTGTAAATCTCGCATTCTAGGACTCTGTGCCGCTAAAGGTGTTTGGCATATTTCACAGCTGAAAACTTGACGTCAGTTTGACACATGTGAATTGACAACCAAACTGTTATGAAAACACGCAGAATAAACGCTCCAGTGGTGATATTTATCCTTGGCCCCAAAGGTTAAGGGAATTTTCCCTTTTAGAAAATCACGCAAAAGCGGCGGGCCAGGAAAATTTGAATGAAAAAACGAAAGCTCAAAATTAGAGCCAAAATCGAACTTGGAAAGAAAATTAACAAACAAACCTCACCAAACTTCACGAAAAACAGCATACTGCGAGAATGATTAATTTTATTGCCACAAAGAATGACCGGATTTAGTTTCGAAAGTGAAATTTGCATCTGAAATGAAATTCTTTTCAGAAGGGGTTTTTCCCTTCTAGCTTTACTGAGTGACACTTGATAGCGAGCGCTGATCAAAGCCGTTTGCCGCTTTTGATAAACTTCAAAAAAGTATTAATTTGCTTCCAAAGATTCACTACCCTGAAAAACTACATGTACTTCATTCCGAATTATATTTTCGGACTCAATGATTTCGTATGTTTTTTTGACACCGAGGTGTTCACATTTTTTGCATTGTTTAATAATTATGTATGTTGGTCGGCAGTTTAAAAGGGACTTTCCCTTCGCGATTTCGCGCGATTCACCCGCTCTGTAGGAAATTACTCGAACGGTAAAATCAGGTAATTTTTAGTTTTTCGTTTCTAGAAACGTTTAGGTTAGAAATTAAATCGTGCGAGTTATATTTTTGTGTTTGAACAATAGGAGTCTAAAAATGTAACGATCTGTATGACGCAATCACAGAGCCTCCGATAAAATATTTCCGCGAATTTCTTTTTTTCCATCAAGGGATTTATTGTTCAGACTTTTTCAGTACAAAATAAAACAGGATTCACGATTTAAAGTTTCCAAAGATAATTTTCACCCTGCTCTAGTTGGTACGTGCTTCACAAAAATCACAAGTTTGCTGAAAAGCAAACTATTTAGGGGATTCCCCGTTTCCGAACTCTGCGAGGGCTGAGACCTGTCAAAATACTGGATTCTGATTGGATGAAGATTAGTGACCCCCAACGCTCAGCCGAATTATAACCAAACTCGAAGCGATCTTGTACAATCAGGTGTTTTATATCGGGTTGAATTGCCAGTTAGTCAGGATGGATTACGAAGACCTCTTCCCTGATATTTCGCCCATGGACGAAATTTTGGAAAGGGATTTTACCAGCAACGTTTGCAGTTCCAACTGGTCGCAGAGCCATAGTTTGGGAGACCTTGTCAGCGATGATATGGAGAATTTATTTTTGCAAACGAGACTGAATCTAGACGGGTTCGACTCTGCGTCCACCATTAACAGCGAGCCTTCAAGTCCGCAGAATTTTCAAGACTACAGCGAACTTTTAACTGACGATGATCTAATGAAGTTGTCAATACGAGATCTCAACCGACGGCTGAAAAAACTACCCAAAGCTGAGGCTCACAAGATCAGAAAGCGAAGAAGGAGTTTGAAAAACCGAGGCTATGCCACGAGTTGTCGACAGAGGCGAACAGCATTAAAGGAAAGCCTCGAAATACAAAACCAACGCTTGAAAGCACAACTGCGCGAGGCAAAAGAAAGCCTTTGCACTGCAGTCAAGGACAGAGACATGTACAAGACGAAATTTGAACAACTAAACAAGGTTTTTAGTGCGTACACGCAAACAGCATCATCCTGAGGAAACAATATTTGAAACTGTGAATGTTAAACTTCACTCAGTTGATTTGGGTTGATGCAGGCTGAAAGACTGAGCATGAATGGCCAAGCTCCAGCTAGCAAAGTGGCAGTGAATTCAAATGTTACTCAGAGGCCAGAATGACTGTTCATTTATAATTTCACTGTTCAGGTAATTGAAAACGATTTGCCCTTTTACACTACAATTATACACATTTGAGTCTTGTATTTCATGACCGAGGGAGGTAAATACCTTGATCATGGTCGCCTTGTATATGTATGTACAACTTGCATATATTCTTCACATAATTAAGTTGTTTACGCCAGCCGAAACTCGCTGTGTAGTTTACAATAGTCAAGAACAGAGACATGTGTAAGAAATGTTTTCAATTTGTCAATCCAGATTTCTGTATAAATCTGTATCGATCGGCACAGTCCATCTTAGCCAGTCGTGGAATTATTTTTCTGTAAAATATTTTCTACAGCGCCAGGAGAGTGTTCCCAATTTCCCTGAGTCAGTTACATGAAGTCCTGCGACATAATAATCGATGTTTTTCTGCATTCATGTAATCGATGGTTTTCACGAAAATGTTATTTATAGGTTTTGTCTCTGTCAAAGTGAGTTTATATGCAGGGCAACTCGACTGTCAAAGTTATTTAAATTAATTGTTATTACATCTATGAGCAAAATTGTACAAAATATCACGCCAAAGAAATAGAAATATGTGTATTGAAATTACAATCTGGAAAAATAAATTCCTACCCCCATTTGCACCCCCATTTGGACCCCCATCTGGACCCCCATCTGGACCCCTATCTGGATCCCCTATTTTTTCTTCCAGAAAATACGGGCTCCTGATTTAAGTGATTTAACTTAGAACATAACAGGATGAAGTCTATTTAATCAGTGAGCAAAATGTGAAGAAATTAATGATTTCACGTAGCATTGTGTCTAGAATAATATAATGGCTGCGGTTGCACTATGAGAGGTAACTGGGTTATTTCTAATTAAGCAATTACGATTAACCGGGTTACCGAAAGATCGTGAGTGGCCGCTATTTTCGGCCCTTCATTGAACTTAAACCGGGTTAACGGTTACCATGGAAATCAATTAAAGAACAATAGATTTTTTAACCGACTGAAGTTAATTTTTAACTACCTTTCTGCGTGGTCTAACCCAGGGTAGTGGTCTCTTATCAGTGCCGTGCATTGGCTTTTTCGTGAAATGTGTCAGTCATCATCGTCTGTATGTGAGATGTTGCTTACTGTGGCACAAACAAGTGCATTATCTTCTACTGGCCATGGCAAGTGGCAACAACAGTTTGAAACGGTTGTATTACCAGAACGGATTTCTAGTTTTTTCCTAATATGTGTCGGCTATACCGTATCAGTCAAGTTTGCAAGGAACCTTCACACCTGAACCATGGCCTGAACAAGAAGCGCTCATTTACCTTATAAGGAGAAATTTTAATCGACTTCCGCAAAGAACACAAGAGTACGTCAAAGGGAAGGGGCAGTTCGTTAAAATGGCAAGAAACGCAGATGAATGAATGAATTCGTAAACAATGTTAAGTGAAGTGCATTTTCGGCAAACGTAACAGCTGTAGACCGAGAGCGTGTCCCAATTCCTAGATGCCATAATCCACGCTTCTCTATCGATAAAGACGATCAGAAGAGAGTGTTTCTTTTTGTCATAAATGAAAGAATATGCAAAGTTCTTAGCCGGAAAGGACTCGATGTTTATTCCGAGGTGCTCTCTATAAAAGCCACGGTATTAAAGTCATGCATGGTAAGATTCCTGGTGATTTCTCAAACCATCGCTGATTTTCCAGATACAGTCAAATTCGAGGACGATTCATTCGACGGCGATGGAAAACACTCTGAAGTCTACAGAAAATCAACATCGTGTTTGAAAGAACAACTGCCTTGGAAATTCGTGTATAGTACGCATGAGAAGGAAGACAGACGGCCTTAGCCGTAAATGTAAAGAAACTGAAGGACACAAAAACAAAGAAAAAGAATCAAAAAAATAAGAGACCATAGTTCTCAACGTCTGTCGTTTTGTTGGTTTATCCATGTCATGACGTCAATAATTGAGTTCACACACTTCATAACCAAATTCAATGTAGCCCCTCATTAAATATAACCCCGTTGTTTCGTCATAACCAAGCTTTAACCGAGTTAAGTTCTTTGGGAACTTTAACCAGGTTTCTAAAAAATAAACTCTGTTAACTCCGGCTACAGCCATCATATTATTCACAACGCTACGTGAATTCATTGTTTCTTCACATTTTGCTCCCGGATTAAATATACTTCATCGTGTTATGTTCTAAGTTGAATTATTTAAATCAGGAGCCCGTGTTTTCGGGAAGAAAAAATAGGGGGTCCAGATAGGGGTCCAGATGGGGGTCCAAATGGGGGTCCAGAAGGGTTCCAGATGGGGTCCAGATGGTGTCCAAAAGGGGGTCCAGTAGGAAGTCCAGATTGAGGGGGCCACGTTTTGTACCGACCCGATTTTAACTTTAATAGTGAGTGTGCCTCGTTCGTAAATCCTTAAAAGGCGATAGAAAGCCTGCGAAGCGATTTTCACAGGCTTCACTAATGTCTTCCGGAAGGAATCACGGTGGAATAGTTCTTATAATGACCTCAAAGAGAGTGTGCACTATCTTCGGTAGAGTGCCAGTGGCACTAAAAGCTGGAGGCACGCCACTCCTTACAGCGACTCACACGAGGTTTTCGTGGAACTCGACCTCATTTCGTCGAATTAATATTCATGAGTGCCACTCAGTGAAGTAAAGCATATACGAAAATGCCAGATACACGAAAATCGGATTTTCGTGCAATTGAAGTAACTTTTTTAAAACCATGATCACTGAACTTTGGTTTTGATTTTTATCATCTAATAGTGGTTGGTAATCGAGCGTGACAGCCGCGATCAGTCTGAAGTCGAGCGTGATGTTCAGCACCCAAATACACAAAGTCGCGTCAGTTTTTGTTTATCCGCTCCAAGATTTACATATAAATGTCGAAGTCACAAATGACAAGACTGACAACGAATTATGAGCTATAGCATCTACAGTTTAAGTTAGCAGGCAAACATGCACTTGTTTATAAGAAAAGTATCGATAATGTAGGATTTAAAAAGGGCTAGTTAGTCACCGTATTACTCCGTACTGAATAAGAGACTATTATCATAGTCTTGGTACTGAATATAGTAAACTCTGGCAACACATTATGTATTCTTTGCAGGGCAGTAGCTACATTGTAGTTACAGGCGAACCGAGGCACTTACCATAAGGAGCTATGCATTAAAAAACAACTACATCCATATAAAAGAAGTGTGTGTGTGTGTGTGTGTGTGTGTGTGTGTGTGTGTGTGTGTGTGTGTGTGTGTGTGTTTTTTCTGATATTGCCTAGGTACGAATTTTAGTCTGGCTACGGCCTTGCTTTGCGAACCATTTTGGAAGCACACAAGATTATATTCATCAGAAGGAGCCTTTAATTATACACATTTCGACGAGGCTGTTTCTACATGTATGAAGAAACAGTGCTTCCTCCCATCGACAAAATACTGTCATATCTGTTGTGATAAATATTATCACAAGTTGTTGAACCAAATCATGTGATATGTCTGTCACGCAGTGCTGTTTTGAAATTGAAATTGATCAGCGGATTAATCATGGTTTGGCCTGTAGTCTCAAGCTTTGTCGTAGCCAAGTAGTAAATATTGAACGAGACATCTCCAAACTAGCCTCACTAAATAAAAATATATGCGGCATTGAACCGCAGCAGTACACCTGATCTTTTAAATACACAGTCTTTTATATTTAGGCAAGAGCCGCTGCCGTTTTGTTGGCTTGCCAGAAAGTGGCCAGGTGCGTGACTCGCTGAAACGTAAATTATCTTTACAAACTGTAATAAATTACTTTTAAAGTAAGTTTGGAGAATTTGGTGGTGCAAAATTCCCCAAACTGAAAATATTTACTTGTCGTAAACAGTGTCAAAAAAATGAGTACGTCGTCACGTGACCGTTTCGTGTAGAGGGAAAGCATAGGTACTTTCACTTTTCGTATTTTCGATGTGCCGAGACCGGAAAATCCTTACGTGGCAAAAACGAAACAAGGAAATTCAGTTTTTCTCTGGAAACAACGAACAAAAAAGTTTTAATTTGTTCCGGAAAGTCGAATTTTCTCGTTCGCATTCCAGCAGAGTAATAAATAGGCTGGAATTATTATGAAACCTGACAAAGTTCTTTGTTNGGGGGGGCGTGTACAAAACAAAAACAAAGTATACATATGTATTTATATTATTTTTACTTTCGCTTGTGTAATAGTGCATGGTGTATGAGTATGTAATGCATAGTGTATGAGCACAAAACAAAAGACGGTCTACAACACAGTTACAGTCAGGGACCTCCCACTCTTTGTTTTCTTCTAGGCCTAGAATGCATGTAAGTTTCCAAGCTATCGAAATTAACCGCATAGAGAATTCCACTTGGCCAATTTTGACTTTATATCCGTTTCGACACATTTAGGCCTAACAACACACTCCATAAGCATACGGGAAATGTGCAAACACGTAAGCAACAATGTTTTACAGCTGACTGAGTTTATCGGGCCAGTGGAAACACTAGTCGTGTTGTTTTCCCGCGTTGAAAAGGTCTCGTTTATTTTGACATGTGTAATCCTACAGGGAAAAATCCCGGAAATTATCGTATCTGCCTAAAAACCTGCCGAACCGTAAACTTTACTAAGAAGCAAGCCGTTTGACATGCAGTCACTCCCACACCCGAATCCTCGACTGTTGCCGGTGGTATCATACTGAAGCGATGAATTAAATAGCAGCCTCACATTTGTCTCTGTCTCAGTCCTTTTCTGTCTTAGGTTAGCTGAGTGATTTCCCCTGTCACCCATCTTCAAACATTCCCACGAAAATTGTTCTTACTTCTTCCTTCTTCCTTCGCGTCGATAAACAAGAAGCAATCTCTAAGGTTTTACAAGAATAATAAACCAAGCTACTTCGTATCCCCGGAGATTGGGGGGGGGAGGAGCGGAAAAAAGTCAGTGTCATTTAATGTGTAGGTTTAGAATTGTTACCTCTAAGAGGGGGATTTATTAATAGTATGGTAAGTGGTAGCAATCCAGACAATTCATGTACGTCTAACAGTTGTTTGGAGGTAGCTCAAGTTTGTATTATGTAGTTTTGGAATATTGTAGTCAAAACTTGATACAAAGCTCTTTTCACTCCAGGACGTCCATTGACATCCTGGAAATTAAGCATGCTTCAAGAATAAGAAAGCTTTTAATGCTTAATTTGGCTATCACCATACAAACGGTCGGTGCAGGCAAACATTAGTCAATCACCGATGACCTCGGAAAATGTTCTATAATGATGTTTTAAAGCATCGGAACAAAATTCG